TTCTGTGTTCAGAATAAAAATTCTTACCATATTAAAAAGTACCACTGACTTCACTTCCAATTAAACACAATTTTTCTCTATTACAATGTTGTATTGTCATTTTGCTAACTGAAAATGTTAAGGTGCTTCTCCTCCAGGTTAAAAAAATTAATTACCAAAACTATGCAAGATTACTTCTGTTTTCTTTATTCTAAAGCTACATGCTACTTTTTGATTTTGTAATTTACAAGTATTCCATTTTGGATTGCTGTATTTTAGGCTGGACTGGATTATGGAAACATTTGTGCTGGTTCTGAGACTGAAGACACTGATGCCCAAGGACAAAGGACCTCACCACATATGACACATCTGAATAAAAGAAATCGTAAGCACCAACAGCAGTAGAATTGAGATGGAAATATTGCTCCTCTATTTCGTATGATAAAATTGACATCTTTCCCACTAACATGTGAGTCAAATAGCTAGGCAGATTATTGTTAAATACATGATACTTATCAATAGAAATGTGACAAAATCAATGTCTATACTAATTCAAATAAGAAATTCCTGATGGCTGATGAAAATAATTGCAATTTTTGAATGTAGTAGTTTGCATTCCCTGTAACACATGAAATACACATCACTATTCACCTGACATGGTCACAGAGACAGCAAAGAAGGCTGGGTGTGTTCCCTATTCCACAGCACTCACTGCATCTCACTCTGCTTTCTGAGAGCTCAGTAAAGAAGCTTATTTATCTTTCAGATTGGATTTGATTTTGTTTTCCTCTGTATTAATTGGTTCTAATGTTTCTAGGGTGGAAATGGTGTGGGGGCAGGTCCTCACTAAAATAAAAACATTAATAAAACCCATAAATAATTGCAAGAAACAGCATCCTTTACCCTTTCTTTTAACATGCATCTTAAAATACAATTATATTTCTCTAGCTTTGTAAGTAGAGCTTGAGATCAGGGATAGCAATACCTCCGGAGTTCTTTTATTGTGCAGGATTGTCTTAGTTATCCTGGGTTTTTTTGCTTGCTTGTTTGTTTTGTTTTGTTTTTTCCACGTGAAGTTGAGTATTGCTCTTTCAAGGTTTGTAAAGAATTGTCTTAGAATTTTGATGAGTATTGCATTGAATCTGTAGATTGCTTTTGGTGCAATGACGATTTTTACTATGTTAATCCTACTAATCAATGAGTATAGGAGATCTCTCCATCTTCTGGTATCTTCTCCAGTTTCCTTCTTTAAAGACTTGAAGTTTGTGTCACATATGTCTTCCACTTGAATACTTAGAAATACCCCAAGGTATTTTTATATTGATATTGGCTATTGTGAAGGGTTCTGTTTCCCTGATTTCTTTCTCAGGCCTTTTATTATTCATGTATAAGAGGGCTACTGATTCTTTTTTATTTTTTAGTTAATGCTTTATCTAGCCACTTTACTAGCTGTTTGTCAGCTGTGGTAATTCCCTGGTAGAATTTTTGAGGTTGCTTATATATACTATTATGTCATCTGCAAATAGTGATACTTTGATTTCTTCTTTTCAAATTTGTATCCCCTTTATCTCCTTCTGTTGTTTTATTTCTTTAACTAGAACTTCGAGTACTATATTCAATATATATGGAGAGAGTTGACAGACTTGTCTTGTTTCTTATTTTAGTGGACTTTCCATGAATTTCTCTCCATTTAATTTGATGTTGACTGTTCACTTATTGTATATTTTTTAATTATATTTAGGTATGTTCCTTGTATCTCTGATCTCTCTAAGACCTTTATCATGAAGGAGTGTTGGATTTTGTTAAAGGCATTTAAGTATCTAATGAGATGATCATTTGTCTTTTTTTTTTAAGTTTGTTTATATGGTGGATTACATTGACAGATTTTAATATAAACAGCATGGTATTAGAATAAGAATTCAACAGATGGTTCTGTTGAATGGAATCTAAGACCAGACATAAATCTACGTATCTTCGGACACTTGATTTTTGACAAAGAAGCCAAAATTATACACTGGAAAAAGAAAGCATCTTCAATAAGTGATGCTAGCATAACTAGATGTCATTATGTAGAAGAATGCAAATGGATATGTATCTTTCACTCTGAACAAAATTCAAGTCCCAGTAGATCAAAGACCACAATATAAATCTAGTTACACTGAACCTGACAGAAGAGAGAGTGGGAAATAGCCTTGAACACATTGGCACAGGACACCACTTTCTGAATAGAACACCAGTAGCACAGACACTGAGTTTAACAATTAATAAATGAGACCTCATGAAACTGAAAGGCCATTTGTAAGGCAAAGATAGAAAGATAGTGTCAAAAGGACAAAATGACAGTCTACAGAATGAGAGATTTTCACCAACCTCACATCTGACATGGGGCTGATCTATAAAATATATAAGGTATGCAAGAAACTAGACATCAAAACAATAACAAAAAATAATCTAATTAAAACAATGGGATACAGACATAAACAAAAAATTCTCAACAGGAGAGAATCTCAAATGGCTGAGAAACACTTAAGAAATGTTCAGCCTCCTTAGCCATCAGGGAAATGCAAATCAAAAGGACTCTGAGATCCCATCTTACACCTGTCAGAATTGCTAAAACCGTAAACTCAAAAGATAACTTATTCCAGAGTGAATGTGGAGCAAGAACATTTCTCCATCTCCTCCATTGTTCACAGAAGTGCAAACTTGTACAACAACTTTGTAAATTCATATGGCAATTTCTCAAAAAACTGGGAATAAACTACCTCAACAGTCAGCTATATCACTCTTGGGCATATACCCAAAGGATGCTCAAACATACCACAAGTACCCACTTATTCAACTATGTTCAAATAAGCTTTATTCATAATAGCCAGAACCTAGAAACAATTTAGATGCACCTGAACCAAAAAAAATGGATAAAGACAATGTGGTACATTTACATAATGGAGTAGTACTAAATAGTTAAAAACAAAGGCATTCTTGTGGGTTTCAAGGTGATTTAAAATGCTCTCAATAGACTCACAACTTTTAGTTCCACTCCCTTAGAGACAAGACATTTTCCCTGTGGAAAGACAATATATGCCCAGGAACTTAGTTCATCAGGCAGTATGTCCACAAAATAATGAGGGAAGCAAGCAAAACTGAAACTCCAAATAGTATCATTGATTCAGTGTTCTTAGAAAGTATGCTGGTGTTTTAACAACTGCTGAATATTAAACACGTGTTTCCTCAACCCTTCATGTGAATTTTCAGATTTGCCTCAGACACCTGATATCTTGTTGATACACCATTCCAAGTCTGAACAACCCTTCTCAGTAACACCAGCCTGAGAGGTTTTACAAGATTTTGCTGCCATGATTTCCACATGGTTTGTCTTAATAAAACACATATTGAAGCTAGTCCCTCAAGTAACAGGAGACCACGAAAAGGCGAATGTTTTTATTTCAAGGAAGGCCCACATTTTGTGGTATTGGTTTCCCAATCAGGAAAGTGGGTTCATGAAGCTTTCAAAGTAGGGCTACCTCTTGTCTCCTGCTGTCTGACTTGTTATGTTGCCACTCTTCCATGTTTGTTTACTTGTTCTGCTTTGTCACAGTAAGTGGCCCTCATCTTAAGTTAACACATGCTTGTGGACTGCCAAACTATTGATTCCAAAATAAACCTATATTCTTGATACACTATCCAGCTTCAGGTATTTTATTATAACGGCAGTCTAAATTAATTACTTCTTATGTCTGACCTTTACCAAGTGTTATGATCTCTGAGAGACTATGTCTTCTCTCGGTGTTTATACCCAAGACTAACTTTGCTAAGCTTATTCCATCAGATTTCTCTTTCCAGGCAGTAGACTGGCTCACCAGCAATTACCAATTTCAAACAGCACCACCCATGAGTACAGCTGGACATAAATTAAATACATAGACTGTGTCTGTGCCTTTCTGGTGCTTTCCTTAGGATGCACTAGTCACCTGTTCTATTCAACACAGAGTGCTGAGGGACACAGAAGAAATCATCAATAGAGCCATAGGGTTTATGAGAAAGTGATAGAAAGACCAGTCATGAGAGAAGGGGGAAAATGGGTTGCTGGAGACTCTTTCTTGACAATGGATGTAGAGACTAGCTGTCAAGCCAGCCACTACCAGCCTAGCCTCAGGCTTTAAGTCAGCACAAATCTGAGGCCAAGAACAATGCAGAAGGAAAGGGAGCAAACAGCATTCAAACTAGTGAGAGAGTGAGTGTAGCTGCAAATGCGTATCAGATTGGATATGATAAATACTGGAAAGACAAATGGTGAGGATACTCTGGTGACTTTCGAATCTGCAGCACAGGTAACGTGCTGGTCCTGAGGCACGGCTGGAAGGGATGTGTTGTGTCCAAATAATATGTATTTTCATGCTAAACTGTGTACATGATGCAACCTTCTGTATACAGAAAAATCAAGAACTGTAAAATATGAAAATATTTTGAAGCCATTAGCAATGTTATTTCCTGACATTTAAACATAGACAGGATATAGGAACCTTTTCCAATTGCTGGACTCCTCTTTCTTTTCTAATGCCTAAGAGCTAAGCCTTCCTTACATTTGCAATGACAGTGAGTTTGATATGCTATATTTAGTCATCCATTCAACAAGCATTGATTACCTGCCTGCAGGACTCCCTGTCAAATGTGATAAATAAGTACTGTGGAGGAACAATATCTCCAACTGTCTAGAAGCAATTACAGAGAAGGCTAGATCAGAGGCGTGGTGGAGTCCCCCTCTGAGGGCTATTTACAGAAGAATCTGCCCCTAAGAAGTAAAAGCAAACAGAACTGCAAGATTGTCTCTGGGGCGTTGTGTTGTAAAACCTGCAAGTTTAGTTGTAGTTTAATTATAGGCTTACAGTGGACAGAAGTGGGATTAGTCAAGGTCAAGCAATAAGGGGCACACGGTGAATTATGAAAAAACACAGAAAGAGTCATCAGAAATACAGTCAAAGAAGTAGGAAACGCCTTTCTGCTTGGAGTCAGTTGCTACTTACTTCCTCTGCTGGGCTGAAGAGCGCCTGGTGCAAATCACAGCTACAATCACCACTACTAACACTGTGAGGATGCCAACGGTGACCACAGTTATCACAAGCAGGTTGCTGTTCTTCTGAGGAGTGACACTGCCATGTGGAGGGTGCATCTGTCCAATGGGTGGTTCTGGAGGAAAAACAAGTATAAACGGTCCAGGTTTAGGGAGGGGTTGTCACCACTGCTCATCAGGTTGTAAAACGAAGAGCTCTTACTGTTTTAGCCTGACAAGCAATGAAAGCAAAATGATCCATTGAAATGAAATATACAAACTTGGACAGGACAAGTTATTCAAAATAGTTCAAAGCAGAAACAATGTAAATGTGGATTAACCAAAAATGGTGATTTATCCATTTAATAGAATATTACTCAACCATAACAATTGAAGTTCTGACTTAATGCTACAATGTAGAGGCTAAGGGAAATGAGTTAAGGACTGGATAGAGCTTCCTTCCATTCATAAAATATCTAGAGTAGGCAAATAATGAAAATAGACTACATTTTAGTGTTGGCCAATGAATGGAAAGAATGGCTAGTGGGAAAGGCAGATAATGGAACTAAGCTGAGTTTTCAATTCACAGACTGTTCTAAATTAGATAGTGATTGTGTTAGCATAACCTGTTGACTATACTAAAAATTGACCCAATTGGATCAATTCCAAAGGTGAATTTATGGCAGAGTTATATCCTGATCAACAAAGATATATAATATTGCGAAAAAAATCCACGGAGCCTGTGTGGAACCTGCCCCAGAATATGGCTGGTGAACACAGTGACACTCCATTGGATAAAACTGATATTCTCTTTGCCAGGATTTGTCAATTGAAACTAATTTCTTGGTTAAAGGGTTACTTTGTGTTCACTTCCCCATCCCAGTTCTGGTATTTTGTCTCGTTTGAAGGCCTTGTGTGCACGATTAGACTCTGTGCGGTCATATGGGTATCACTTCCATCGTGTCTAGAAGGCACTGATGAATTTTCCCATTGGCATTAAAATATCTGCTGGGAATGTTGTTGAGTTCCTACTAAAATTCTTTAATCTCAGAACAATAATTTAATAGATACATGCAGGACTTTATATCACATAATCTGGAATAGTTGAAAAGGTGATTGCATTCTGAGGAAAATAAAATACAGTTTTCATCTGATATCCTATATATGTTACTTTAAAAGAAAATAAAAATGCAACAACTGAGTATTTATAAATTAATTAATAATTCACATTTTTATTAATGAAAATGAATCAAACTACTGAAACATGCAAGTTTAACACTTTCAAAACTGAAGTCAATGGAATAATGTTATATAGGGTCTGTATATCTTTTGATCAAATTCACTAAACTGAACTTTCAAATTCCAGGCAGAACTATCAGCAAAGGGAATTGGTGCTTTTTGGTGAGTGTAGCAAGATTGAGTTGAAGCAATTTTCATGGTGGTTGTCATTCAAACAAATGTAAAGCACGAATTATGTTTGTAGAAATTGAAGCATGTTCAGCACTAAGAAAGAATGTGGAGTATATTCTAAATATTAAATGCATCATAAAATTGAAATAGTATCATATAAACAAATATTTAGCTATGATTCTACCTGACACAAAAAAATATTTAGGAAGCCTCTTCAGCCTCTACAATTTAATTAAGGGCATTCAACTATGAGAGAATTCATGAACTATAGCACTATTTTTGATGTTTGGGCTTTTTTGCTTGTTTCTTTTTTTAGTTAAAATTCTAAAGTAAATTTTTAAAATGTTGGCATGAAAAGAAAAGAACATAAATGATTAGCAGGATCTAAATTCATTTGCAAATGCCTTGAGTATTCTGACAATAAGCTATTATTCTGTTACTACACTGTGAAGGATGAATCCAGCAAATGTAGAGAGAACAAGAATACCGCCATAATTCTGTCAATCTAAGGGAGATGTATGAAATTTCATTATACAAGAGGCATAAAAACAAAAACTTGAACAAATTTTTGTCAATGCAGACACTTCTTTTAAGGTTGTGATGCAGGTACAGATTTGACTCTCTGGGACCTCTCTTACACATCTAATTGGGAAAACCCACCTCCTTCCAAAACCTTAACACATTACTAGGCCTTTAACTGGGAATCTTAGCTTTCATAGGCCTTTGAGGAATCTCTTATAATAGCCAGAGTTTATGTCAGATAACATATTCACCATAACTCTTCTGCTAACAAAATAGTAGAGGAAAGAGATTAAGTTTTTCCTTCACCATCCATGTGTCTGGGGGTTTCCAAGTCACTGTAATCAGTCAGTGTAGTAATTTGTCTCTCCAGTAGTGAATCTAGGCATAGTTCAGGTACATCATTAGTCTCATTCACTTAGCATAATATTTCTAAGACATCATGAAGTGATGGAGGAAACTGAGGATGGATAATGCCCACAGTTCATGTGAACTGGCTGGAAGCCACTGAATACCATTATCTGTTTGCCTCCATGAATTTGCCCTGTAAAGTAATGTTTGTTAGGTCAAATTTAATTATAATTTCATTTTCACCAGGAATCTTTTTCAATAGAAAATGCATATAGTGGTCTACATTTCTCCAAATCATTGTTCCTTTCTTCATCTGAGGACTTACTCTTTTAAACAGGGAAATCCTGTTGATTAATACAGGGAAATCCTGTTGATTAACATATCCATGTTGGATTTCATTTGGGGTTTCTTTTTGAACTAAGATTTCATTTTATTTTGAAAGACAACTTCAAGCACTTAAACAAAACTTAGTTTGATTCCTACCGGGGATTGCAACATTTAGGAAGTGAAAATACAAGCATTTGAGAGTAATTTTGAATAATTTTTCATTGCTTATGCATATACCTCTTGTAAAGAATTTACTTATGTCAGATTCTTAGGGAAATGTTAACAAATTACAATTTTAGTTGCTATGTCTAACCCTACTCAACACCACATCCTTTAGAGGAGAGGATTTTGCCTGTGGTTTACACTTACTCAGCTATTAACGTTTACATCCATTGCTTAGCAATACTGCAAGCTACAAGGGGATAATTACCCTTTCCCCACTATCCACATGGTTTCCTTTTTGAAATTTCTGTAGTTCTATCATGTGGTCATACTCATAAGTGGAAATGGATGTCATAAAATTAGTATTTCAAAATGGGTATTTTAGAATGATTCTAAAATAGTATTATTTACTAATATGTATGAATGCATGTGCACACACATATGCATTGGATGTGTATGTATATATGTAGGGGAGCATGCATGTGTAGGTCTCTTTTCACTACATGGTACAGGGATCTAACTCAGATCATCAGATTGGCAGCAAGCACCTTTATATACTCAGGTATCTTGCTGTCTCTGTAGGATGATTCTAAGTGGGAATGTTGATTCCTTAAGAGGACTCTAGAATTAGAACCTCTCTTTCTTAGGGATATACATACATACATACATAATACATACATACATACATGGATATATAAACATTTATAACAAATACACATTACATATATATATATATTTCATCACACAAAACAGTCTTTAAAAACAAGATCAACTTCTACCTACTCATGAATCTTTCTTGTCATCTCACTTTGGTTGTTTAATCCTCTGTCCTTTTACTTGAACACTTCTTTGTCTTGGGTTTTGTTCTTGAAGTAATGCAATTTTAAACCCGTGCCCACAGTTTATTACTAGAACTGTGCCCTCAGTGGAGTCTTAGTAGCATTTCTTCAGCTACAAAATATGTTTTTATATTTTATGTATATGCATGGTGCATACATGAGCATCTGTGCACCATGTGCATGTAGTGCCCAAGGAAGCCAAGAGATTATGTAGAATCCCCTGGAACTGAAGCTACAAATAGTTGTTAGTTGTCACATACGTGCTTAGAACTAAAACCTGATGTCTGCAAGGACAGAGGGTGTGCCTAGCAACGGCCATTTCTCTAGCCCATTAGTAACATATTTGGTCCAATGACTTTTTAAATGTAGGAAGTATGCCTGGTAGAGTGTTAAATGGGAGTAAATTAACTAAACTGGCACCATTTGGTAGACAGAATGAGCAATACCCAAGACCAGGCATGGGGGAAGCATGCAGTTCCAACACAAGCCTTTCACATTAATGTTGTGTACTCCAGCCTTGTTTTGACCAGAGACTGACCGAGCTAGGTATTACCTTATCAAGTATTACAGAAATGGGGAGGAGCATAAAGAAAGAACAGGAAGATGTGGACCTCCTGGAGTAAACACTGTGAATTTAATCTTAGTTAGACTTGGATGGAATATGTATTCAGGACATTCTCTATCTTGACCCACCCAGCTAATGTGTATGTTGAAATCTAATCTATATCTTAGTGAGATTCTGTGGTAAAGTTTCTGGGTGTGGTTATGTGATATGATGCAGGTAGAAACTTCATCAGCTGAATCTGTGTCTTCATTAAAGAAGATTAGAGAACCTAGTTCTCATTTCCACCAAGAGCAGACACAGAATACACCATATGTGAAGTCTTCCCATAAGGACAACCTACTATTCTTTGGTATTGTACTATATTTCCAGCCTTAGAAAGAAGTATGAACAACAAATTGAGGTTGTTTACAAATTAACCAATGTAAATTATTTTGTGAAAATAACAGGAATGGATAGAAAATGTAAATGACAGTAGATGCATTTGTCTGTTAAATAAATGGCATTAATAGCAGAGGAAGTTATAGAGGAAGATTGAAAAATTATTGAGACATTTGTTGTGGGACACACACACACACACACACACACGCACACTATGTGTATATTGATATACTGATACCTCCTGGAAAATTTGTGCATTTGATTATACTAGCATACAATAGGAAATAATCACTTAATTTGGCTATTTATTCTAATTTCATAACCAGAAAACAAATTAAATAGCTATTTTGTCTTCCTATCTAAATATTTCATTAGGAAACTACTCAAATGGATATATATATCTGTTCATTAATCAAATCTCTCATGCAACCCTACTGAATTGGTTAAATAATTTTGTTAGTTATAAAATAAAATACTGGACCACAGTGAATAAAAATAGGTGAGGACTATGTTTAACACATGTATAAGTCTTGACAAATTTGAAGATAAAGACAAAATATAGCACTATCCATAGATGATTTAAAGGGTAAATGGTACTTTAAAAATTATAAATATGTGAAATAATACATTATTCCTTTATATAGTCACATGTAGGGAAAATCAAACTGAATAGAACATCAAATAACTGAAAATGGAGAGAAGGCATGCAGACACGTCCCAGAGATTATTGACATATAATAAAACAGACATTATTATATACTGAATATGTGATTTGCATTTAGTAAGTTAAACCAAGCAAGAACAGCATGTTTTCCAATGGTAAACATGTTACATCAGTCCTTTGTTTAGAGTTAATTTATCCTTTCAAAGATTCCATTTCAGCCAAACAGACCAGCTTCTAGGGTATAACTTTCATATGCTCCAGGTTCATTACTTGGTATTTCTCCCATGTGTTCCCCTAGAAGCCCACAGTTATATGGAAAATTTTACAAGAGGAAGCAAGCAGACAGCCTAAAAGTGAGAGTACAAAGGACAACTAATAATTAAATATTGTAGTATTTAAAGAGTAAATTACTTTTTTAGTAAATAGCCCCATTAACTTTATCAAACATAGTTGGTTTCAAGCTAATCATTCGTTATCATAGCTCTCCAATAGAAAAGGCTGTTGTGAACATAGGAAATACACTATCACATTTCAAAATGTAGCTATTTAAGAAACATTGTTCTGGTTAGATTGTGTCAACTGGACACAAAGTAGGGTAATCTGGTTAGAGGGAACACCAATTGAGAAAATGTTCCCCTATACTGGGCTATAGTTAAGCCTTTGGGTCATTTTCTTGATTCGTGATTAATGTGATAGGGTGCAGCCCACTGTGTGTGATGCCAATCCTGGACAAATGGTTCTGGGCTATACAAGAAAGTAAGCAAAGATATCCACAGAGTAAGCCAGTAAGCAGCATTCTTCCATGCCTCTGCTTCATTTTTTGTCTCCAGGTTCCTATCTTAAGCTCCTACTGTGATTTCCCTTGATAATTGACTATGAGTTGTAAACTGAAATAAACTCTTTCCTACCTTCATTGTTTTAGTCAATGTTTTCTCACCACATTAGAAAGCAAACTAGGAAAAACCTGTATCATTTGTGAGTTGCCCAGTACTAGAACTTGTTTAATTATTTTTCATGCACCTGCCACCTCTAATTATCATCATTTTCTGGTAGAATGTGTGAAATTTGCTAATAACATCATTTTTCTATCACCACAGTAAAACACTAAGTCCACAGTCCTTGCCCTTGTCAACAGAAAATTTATTTTGGATACTGCAGAATTAAATGTGTAATTACTGTATCCAATCCAATAGAACTCAATTTATATACTTACCATTGAGAGTGCTTCTATCAATCAAGTTCGTATCAACTGGCCAATAACCTCCATCTCCATGACGACCTGTGTATAACAGCACATTAAAATGTTAGCGGATACAGCTTAGGGAACTACAAACAAAACAAAATGAAGCGGCAAAGAAAAAATTCTAAATTTACAATGAATGAGCAAAATTACTTGGAGAAAAATCTGTCATGCTTAAACTAGTGAAATTCAATTTTCTGGGATGCAATCATGTTTTCTTCCTTTTTCCACCCTTTCAATACTTAAAATATAGTACCAAGAAAGAAACATAAAGGGCCCAGCATTGCCATACTAACTGCTTATCTCCGGAAGACTTCAGAACAAAGATGGCCTGGATTAAGGCTCCTATGTATAGCCAGCATTTATTGCCTCCTATCTGTCACAGACTTTCAGCAAGTTCTCATTGCTGTCTTACCAGGCCAAGATATGTTTTATTTCAATTTGGCTTTGAGTCCTTGCTAGTATTGCTATGTGCCAGGTAACATGCCTGATAATAAATACTAACTAGAAAACAAAGAATGTGTTCAAGATCCCCATCACATAGTCTACATATTTGTTGCTAACACAATGAAAAAGAACGCTTCTCCATTGTGGTATCATTGGTAATTTTGCCTCTCATAAGTGTGAAACAGATGAATGTGGTGTTTAAAAGAATTGATTTACCAATTAATTAAAAATTCTTATGCGATAATGAAAAGTTAGCTAATGGTACTGTATTACAGATGACAATTTATCCATAAAAAAGAAAACTTTAAGTATTTTACTAGCTTTGATTTTTAGAATTTCTAGGTGAACCTCTCATAGAGAAAAACATTAGAGACTTGCCTTTATATACAAACACATTCCAGCAAACAGCATCTGTTTTGAAATAATGCTAGTTAGGATGCTGATTGAGGAGCTGACCATAGTGACAGGTGGTTCTTAGGTTCCACTGATAGATTAGATGTTCCTTTATCTTTCTGACTTACAAGTCAGCTTTGTAACATTCCTTTGCCTACCCAACATTCTTCTCTCTGATGTTTTCCAAGCATTTCATTATTTTATTTGCAGAAGAATGATGGAAAAACAACTTAGTATTCTGTTCTCTGAGTATCTGAGCACAGTTTTTAAAAATTCTTTGGATAACAGTTCAGCTCAAGTTAGCATGGATGCCAGGCTTCGAACAAGAATGAAAGAAATCAACTCAATCACAGAGAATCATGTTTTTCACATAAAATGGCATATTTAAACTCTGCTGGGCTTTGACTGTGAGTGTGAAAGGAAATAGATTTAGGGCGAGGTTTCTATTTGTATATAGTAGGGAACAATTTAAATGAGAAGACATGGTGGACATTTTGATGGGCTAACTATATCAATGGACAGTTCTAATCTTTCTACAGATACCTGGCTTATGTAACACTTTTCAAGTTTCAAATAACACAGGAGAAGCTTTGCCCATAGCACACCGTGGGATTGGTGTTGGAAGAAATGAAGTGAAACAGAAGTTCTGCATGAATATTAAGAATATTTTTGCAGGAACTGAAATCAGCTAGATTGCAAAGCAGTCAGCCAAAAGACATCTAACAACCTAATCACTTAGGCCAGTAACGGTAATGAATAACTCCTATATGGGCTGGAAATTAGGTAGATAGCCTGGGGAAGATTTTCCTTTTTCTCCAGCCTCCTGACAAATGTCTTTTTAATGAAGTTTGTAACTCTCTTTGCTAGTTTGTGGCATGATGTAAAAACAAGTATACAAGCACGTTCATGTATTAATCACACAGGAAGCCATACAGGTCTGAAATCCCTTGGATTTACCAGGCTATCAATGACACTGAAAATACAGTAAGTAGAAATGCCTCTGATATATAGGCCAGAATGCTAAACGAGATAAAGGCATTGTGGAACTGCTTTTAAATAGCATGGGTGTTAAAACCTGGACATTTTATACTGAAAAATCTATTGTGCTGGCATGGCTAGCTTTTTGTTTTCACTAGACTGATATCACAAAATTAAAATTAAGTAACTCGTAATGAACCCAACAGAAAGTCTCTTCCAGGAAAAGTGATATTATCAATCAAGAAGATTGGATTTATGGGGAAATTCCAAAACTCATTTCCAAGCTATTGATGACCCTAAGACACCTTGATCTAAAGACATGGAATTGAGCTTTAATTTTGTGCTGAGTTTCCAGCCCCCAAAAGATGCTTTTAAACTGCAAGGAGGCTTTCCTGATTGACAAGTAATAAATAACTCCTAATAGTAGTAACAGCAATGGCAGCAAAATATGCCCCTACCACTATTATGCAAGTCCTACGAAGTTAACAAATAAGAAGACACTAGAGAGCTAAAGGAAACAATAGCAATGATTCTGTTGCCAGGTAGGCCATCACATGTTTGAGGACTTACTGCAGTGGAAAGATATTTAATGTGTTCACTTTACTTGGTTGATTTCATAAACATTGATTCACAGAAATAGAGGCGCATTTGGAATTTAGAAGATCGTTGGCATGAAAGTCAGTCAATTTAAATATTATGACTACTGCCTCATCCCAAAGGTCTCAGCTTCATTAAAGGAGAATTAAATGGTAATAATTTATTCAACATTTATTGAATGCTTGCTACACCAAAGACATATTCCTAGATTCTCAGGGAATGTGAAGATAAAAAGTTGCATTAGCTTGTGTCCTGTGATGTCAGCTAGCATTGATTCATTATGTCTAAAGCTTAAATAATCCTACTCATATTTAATAACAACCAGCTATTGGTGGTTTGTAATTCACTCTGGGTTTAATGGTTTAAGCACTACTTAATCCATCTATTTCTATGCAACATTGCCAGATTTTCCTAAAAATGTTTTTCATTTATCCAGTATCATTAAAAGAAATACCTGAAAATTTGTGATATTTTAGCAGTACCACATTAGAATATTAACGGTTAAAATTTTGGAATCCTCCAATTTTTCCAAATTTAAAAATCCTCCAAAATTTAAAAGTTTGTGAGTATCCCAGAGTGAATTTTAAAATATGCTCAAGTGTCTGTGACCTCCATGTCAATTGCTCTCAGGATGGAAGATGAGAAGGGCAGATATCTTATGGCTGTCTTTGGGGAGTATGCAAATTAATTTCTCCTTTATGCTGATTCCAGTGGTACCTGTGATGCTGTCACTACTGGAGGAGAGACTCCTGTTCATTAAGATGTTTTTCAATGCATTAATAAAGACTGTGCATCTTAATTTATTGTACTTTTAGAGTTTACCTTATGATTTTGTTCTTAGAGGCCACTTAAAATATTGCTTCTTTATTCTTATTGTGGTATGGTGTGTATAAGTGCATATATGCATATGCACATCTCAGAGTAAAATTCACCAGTATTAATGTTTATGTTCTCACTTGCAGGACAGATGAACAGTATTTCCTATAATAATAATTTTCCAGAACCTATAGTAGATGAATTATGTTGGAGTTTTGTTGTGAGGGTCTGCTTTTTTCTGTAGATGTTTATGATTTCAGGAAGGGGAGTGGGACATTAATGTGCAGAGGCCATTTAGGAAGTTGGATGAGGTAGCTGTAATCTCATCTTTAATCCATCTTCTCTGAATGGGAATTCAGAGGGTCCACACTATCAATCCCCAGAGAAATACATATGGGCCATAATCTAAATCAAATGGGCAGATTGGTCATCGAACAAATACTCAATGCACAGCCTCCCAGTGATGCAGAGCACAGAGTCATTTTCCCTATCTTAGAATTGGTTTTCTGAGAATAATTCTGGAGGTAATGACGAAAATTGCATTGATTTTATGTCTTGTACAGTAGTGGATAAAGAAGACCCATTAATGCCACCTGAATACAATTTCACTGTCCAGCACACAGATCACATTGAGATATATTTAAAACAGATGATTCGTCAGAAGCAAGATATGTGTGTGAGAGTGATCAATTCATCATGTGGTTGATAATACTTCCGACTTTGAGCAAAGGTATCAGGGCATCAAAACCAAGGAAACAGAACAATAGCTAACACCCTAGAGTTTTCAAATACATATTAATAGAAAGTAGCTGCTCACTCGTTCCTAAGGTCCAATGCACAGTGTTTAAATAAACATAAAAGTAATCACCAAGTAAAGGAATACATTACTGCTTCAGATGCAACAGGACCTAAAGTTCTCATCACATCTGTGGTTTGGTGCTGAATAAATCCATGGTGTTTTCCATTCTTCAAAACCTTTGGTTGCATTTGCCTCCTGCAAATATTCTGAGAGCAATAATTTGCAAAGTAGGTGGGGGTTGGTGAATGACTGAGTTGCCTGGAGTGAGAAAAGCAATGTGTGCATCCCTCTCCATGCATTTTAATCATAAAAGGCAAGCTTTGTTTTTCTTTTCTAATTTTTGTCTATACACCATTGACTGTTAATAGGACTGGCTCTTGCTAAGAAGAAAACACATTTATAAGAATTCTTGGAAATCAAACTAGAAATTAAAATGAGAATTTCATGTATAAATAAGATGAGTACTGTGACCAGATAGTTGTGGAAAACAATATACTGTAAGAAAAGGAAAGACTAATTTTGTGGTATTTGTTAGTCATAACATCCTGTGTATGGTGAATTTATATGGATGATTCTTTTATCCTAAATGCTTGCTATTGGTGGACATCTCAATTTAATTCTTAGTATTGACATACTGAGGCAAATGCATAGTTTGACCAACAACTAGAGAATGGTTTCCTGAGAAACTGCCTAAGGTAGGAAAAACAAAACACTACAAACAACGCCTTTAAAAAAATGAGTACAGATCAAACCAGCACTGTCAGACTTATCTGGACTACTAAGTGCTAGTATTTTCAGGAATCTGTACTGGCCTGTCCTTAGGGTTCTGAGAGGATACGCCCTTAGCTGCAGCCACTAAAAGCACCACCTGTGCACATTCACTAAGTTTCCTTTTAAAAGAGCCTTACCCATCTCCTTCCTTTCTTCCTCCCTCCCTCCCTCCCTCCCTGCTTGCCTCCCTCCCTCCTTCTCTCTCTCTCTCTGTCTCCCCACCCTCTTTCCTTTCTCC